AAAAATGCACAAAACATTCTCATATAAAAACTTTGGGACAAACAAAAAATTAAAAAAAAAAATACATGCGGCCACTTGAAAAATATAACATCAATTTTATTATTGAGCAGCAGCAGACAAACAAAAAACTCACAAGCTGAGTGGCTTAGTTCCAGACTCTCCATGGGAGCAAGCAACAATAATAAAAAAAAAGAAATTTTGTATTTTTGTGAGTTTGCACAGAATTGTGTTTTTATTTTGTTTGTTTTCTTTTGTATATTTTTGTAAGCTGACGTTTTATTTCCTTTGAAGTGGCACTGAGCGAGTCTTCACAGCGAGCAGCGGCATTTGCCAGCCAGGAGTGTTTGTGTAAGCGAAATAAACTCAAACTTGAGTTTATGGCTACTGCGACTGTGGCATAATTCTTGTAAAGACTTTGACGCATTTTTAATAATTTTTTATTGTCAACGTTTAGTAAAGTTTTAGTCGACTCTTTGGGATTTTAAGTTTGTTTGTTTGTTTATTATGCCCAAAACTGCACTTGAATCTTATCTGTTATTCAGTCGGGGGCTGTGCTTAAAGAAAACTTTATAAACAAACTACTCAACGGTATAATAAACATTTCAAATTGAAAGTTGAATCAGCTCAAAATACTCTAATGGGAAATGGTAAAAAAAATAATTTTTGCAAATATGTTTTTCAGTTTGTTATTGGAAAATTACATTTATTCACAAATTATAAACAGCTGAAAGCGTTAATTAGCACATAATACAAAAGTGGTCGAGTGCACATTTGCCTAATTAGCCATAATTATAATACACTTGTTATTCGATATAAAAACAAGTGTATAAATTTTGCAGCTGCACAACAATATAAAGTCTTCCAGCTTACATTCGATTATTTAAATTCAATTAACATCCATAAAATCTGGCAGCTTATACATTTATTTTACGTTATATTTATTTTACAGTATATTGTGTTTAACAATGTTTGCTAGTAAAATATGCAGTTGAAAGCTATAGGGATATAGTATTATTTAAAAGCCAAAAGTTTTTTAGAATGGCAAAATATTGTTATTGAAATTACCAATTGTAAGTCCATAATCCGTTAAGCAGTTCTGTCAACGGATAAGCGCTTTGTTTTGGCCTTTTATTTCTTTTTTACTTAATTGAAGTGTCGTGTTAATAATAAACAAGGTATTTTCCAGTCAAGCACTTTCAACTACAACATTATTGCTTTTTCACAGATTTTATTTTGAACAGAGCAAAAATTTGCATTTAATTTTCCATTTGTATGAATATGAATTGCAACATTTGTGCAGCTGAAAAAGTAAGGTGAAATGATATGTGGAATTGAGTTGTCACTGCTGCAATTATTTAACTGTCAAATCAAAAACATAAAACCTATTACTTTTAATGATTAATTACCTGCGAATAGCAAAGCGAGAGCAAATGTTGAAAACCACAAAATGATTTTGATTACGACGAGCTGTTGGTGGGTGGCCTGGGCTGGCAGCCAGTCACCATTGAATTGATTTATGATGCGCACAACCCTTCTGTGACACAAACACACACACACACACACGCACACCTAAGTGAGACCCCCCAAGTGAGACCCCCTCATGCGAGACGTATGCTTGAGCCGACTGCTCATTTGATATGGACTTAAACTTCTGGCGAACGACATGAGAATCACCTTAAAATTCATAAGTTTGTCAGCAAAGTTAACACACAGCAGCTGCATGTCATTAACTATATGAGCCCAAGATATAATCCCCGCAAGGCGCACTCAACATGGCGTATGCGTAATACAACCGCCAAACTTTTCAGCGCTTCATTTTTTAAACATTTAACACACACGCACAGAGTGAGGGAGAGAGAGAGAGAGAGTGTGTGAGAGAGAGAGAGAGAAACACGCTGACACGATAACCTTTAGGGTGCTGACAACTTTTCTCACTTTCGAGCTATATGTTTTTCTATGGTGTGTTTCCATTTTTAAACCATTTTAGTTGTCATCAGGGCGCCGGATTATGCGAGTTTATGTCCCAAATTATGCTAAAGCGAGACACTGGAAAATGCTGACGAGACGGGCTGTTGCTGATAATGTTTATGCTGATGCTAATGCTGCCGAATAACACCCAAAACGAACTCAATTTGGGTGGAGCAAAGTGTGGGGAACAGAAGCGAAAAAGAATAAACATAAATGCCATTTATGTATGTGGTTAAAGGGAAAACTATAACTATATGAGTAGTATTTATATATTACATCAGATGGAAGTTTCTAGGTTAGCTTTTAATATACACTTGCTGGGGGTTTTATCATTTTGCATTAAAGGAGACTTATTCAGCCTGCAAGAAAATGATTTATTCAGCGTGCTTAAGAATGATATTCTTACTTGTATTAAAATTTAATGCATCAATGTATATTATTCATAATTCAATTGGCGTACAAAGTATCCTATTCAACTTTTCTTTTTATAATGAGAGGGTGTTATTATTTCGTCTTGAAGCTTGTATTGCTTGTCTCCGACCCTTATGGAATATGGTATAAACATTCTTAATCAACATCACTTGCCGATTCGTTGTAGCCTTCTAGTTTATTTCTAGCAACTCTTGATGAAAATTGGAATATTTAAATATGTAAATAAATATGTAACAAACAAAATCTTTGTGTCAGTTGCATTCCCATTCAGTCTTTAATGGATACATTACAAAATTTAAAATTCTTTTAGCTAAAATATTTATTAATTTCTGTCAGACTTTGGCTACAAAATAATTCAAAAATCAAGAACTAAAGCGCTAAGTTTACAGGAAAGTCATAATCCGCAGTTAAGTATCGATTTTCCTGTAGCAAATTTAATCCGCATGAAAATTCATAAGTTTAAGTTACTTTAAAGATTAAATCTCAATAACACAAGTATTACAAACTTTGTTAGGCAGCTTAAACTTGTAGCACTCCCCAGTCAAAATATCCACAAATACTGTTTACTATGTTAATATTAATTATTAACTTGAGCTTTAAACTTTAAGTTCGACTTTAAGATATATATATATAGTATATATATATATATATATATATCAATTTTAATTACATTTGGTTCTGTGGCTAAAAGTAAGCCAAATGGCTATCAAAGGGTTCTTCGCACAACCCCTTGAAGCCAAGTGTTCCAGCTGGTTGATTGACCAGCAAAACAAACAAAAAAAAAAGAAAGAAAAGAAGAAAAACGCTCTTTCATCATACTCGTATTAACCCCAGTTTAGTTGGGCATGACGAATGAGTTTCTCAAGTTTGCCAATTTGAATAAAAATTTTAAAAGGCCACCAGGTGCAGTAGCGGAAAGTTGAGGCATATAATATTGCAAAGTAATTCAATGTTGGGTTTTATTACAGCCAACCTGTTGGCTTATAATTTACAATGGTCCCCTCATAGGAGCTGTCACCAATTTATTATGGCCAACATTCTACGCGCTGTCCCAAAACCCATAAAATTTTATTTTATGTGCGACAATTTTCTGGGCGCTAATTTATGAGCTTCAGTTTTCTATGGGAAATTATGAGCTGATTTTGGAAGTGCGTCAGGAAATGAATTAGCAATCGATTGGCCAACAATGTGCACATTTTATATTCACATTTTCAGATTTATTTGTCAGCTTTAAATTACTTGCGGTTTAATGTTATTGACGCTTCGCGATAAACGCAAAGGTTCTACAAATGGAAGCCCTTCAATAGCGGAAGAGCAGCTATGTGATATGTGTATTTGTTATATCCGTTGGCCTTTGAGGTTTATTGATTTTGCGGTTTCTACAGACATTGGCACAGGTGTCGTATGATTACAGCTTAAGGTTCATGTTGAGCTCCATTCAATTAAAGGCCGACAAATGCAACTGAGTAATGTGAGCAGGTTTATCAAAATATCTGACGTTTAATCTATCAAATCACAATGTTGACTTAAAATTTGTTTCGCTTTGGATAAACCTGCGGCTAATTATGGGCACTATTTCAAACAGTCTTTTATTTAATCAGCTATAATCAGTTTAATCTAAAATGTGCGTAATCACGTTGCAGTTTTAAAATTGAATAATAATTTAATAGAAATGTAATTAAGTTGAAAATTTAAAATTGCATAAAAATGTATTCATTACTAAATATTTTTATTTGATCTAAAAGTAGAGTAATTGTTTTGCAATATAATTATCGATACGACTTTTTATTTGTGTATTTTTAATTATAGATTTGCATTCATTCTGCTTGTGATTATGATTAGATATAAATTCGCAAAATATATAACCTTGTCATTTAGATGCCATAGAAATATTTGTATGAACAACTTTATATTTTGTCAAGCAAAGTGAAACAATCTCAAACAGTTTTGCCGCATCGGCAACAGTGCAAAAGTGCCTCAACTTCACTTTTGGCCGCACAGATCGGCGATATTATATGAATTAATTCTGCATTAAAGACTCTCAATCTAAAGTGACCCCTGGGGCAGAAAAAAAGATAACTTTGGCATCTGTGGTAAAGCTAAACAATCTTCAAATACTTTGATATTCACTGAGAATGACATTTTTAATTTCTTGTTGCATATAAATTAATTTGTAATCAGTTGAATATTTGTGTGAATACAAATTTTGAAATATCGCATTTCAAGGATTCTTTAAAGAATAGTTGTTTTTATTTAATGTAGACTAAATGCAGACCACAAAATAAATTTGGCGAATTACTTAATATAATTATAGTTGTTCTTAAATGAAAGTGCTGTGGTAGTTTAAATTTAAAAATGTCAAATTTAAAATGCAAAACAACATTCTTAGCAATTTTTATTTATTACCAAATATATCGAAAAAGATGCACTGGAAACCAGTGCAAAATATTGCAGGCAGCTACGCAAATAAAAGTCCCGAAAATAACTCCTTTAATAAGCCCCCAAAAAACTGCACTATATTTTCATATGATAATATTCATTGATATGCAAATCTTCATTTGACATATTTGATCTTTGTTTTTGTTGTTGTTTGAGCTTACCTGATGAGCGAAGGCATGTAAATCGAAAAATTATGAAAAATGTCACTTTCGATCACGCCTCTTGCGGCAGGCGACTGTTAAACATGGCAAACACACACCACACACACACACCACACACACACACACACGCGCTCAATCTAATCAAGTTTGGGTGTTTTGGAAAAATATTCAAATCAGCTGAAGCCTGCCAATAAATGAAAATTGATTAAAGGGTTTGCTGGGTTCTTTGCCCCTTCCCTCGGCACGCAACAACTAACTAATAACTGCGAACAAACACGAAATATGCAGAAAAATTCCTTGTTTAATTCGCTTCATTCACAACTAGCATTCACTTGCACTTGAACTTGAATTTAGTTCTCAAACACGAACTCGAACTCAGACACTGGGCCCGATAAGTCTATTTGCTGGCTTCGAAAAAGTCCCGCGAAGACGTCTGTTCAAACTGAACCGAAGCGACGAAGCAAAAAACGAACAACGTCCGCACTGTGCGAATGTAAAACGAACACTGACTTTGGGATTGGGCGAAGTGCAAGTTAAGAACTGTCACGCAAGCTCGAACAAGTTGTAAACGGTGTCCATTACACGCAACATGTTCGCTCAACTTCGAGCCGGCTCAAGCCGAGTCGATTAAGGCTTCGGCTATTCTATGTTTTCTGCCTCGTCAACTGCTGATGATCATTAGCTCCACACTCGAAGTGAATAAATTTGAATACAAACGAATAACAAATGGAGCTAGTTTTATTCAGGATATTTACTCATATCTAAAAATTAATTGATTTGCTAGGCAACGATGATGCCAGGATTAAACATTCAATATTGCGTCCTAATAATGAATACAGCAAATAATAATGATCCAAGACAGACAGACGAACAGACTGAGACACAGATATTGTGACTTCGAATCGAGTGTTTATACTGATCAAGAATATATATATGAGGTCGAGCACAACTTTATTATCATTCCGGGCATTAAATAAGTATTTCATTTAAACAAATATTAAATATTCAATTAACTACATAAATACTCAACTTTGTTCTGAAAACAATAAAGCAGCAAAAAGATATTTGCTGATTAAATTTTGGTTCCCGGACTGTAAAACAAACATAAATTTGCACAACAATGACTAGACTTGATTCGAAAACTAGATGCAAGAATTGTTGAGCAATTGCTTTAAGAGTAAGCTATATGACATGGGGGTGTGGGAAGGTAGGGGGAGATGCTTGGCGAAGGTGACTAGCACATAAAGCAAAGCAATGAAAATTCCGACCTGCCGCAATAAATTCCAAGCGCGTATGCCAAAATGAGAGTGAAATATCCTGCAGAAGCGTAAAAGTACACACACATACACACACAGCCAACTAAATGTCAGCAGGACTAACTTAAAGGGACACCCAACTTAACGGTGCACGTGTTTCTATTTGTATGTGTGTGTCTGTGTGCGTGTGTGTGTGAATGTGGGCGCCATAAATCGCGCTAAACCAAAACAAAACATAGTCGCAGAGCAGAGCAGAGGCAAGCATCATGTATCAAGCATCAGGCAGGTGGCAGAATGGATGCCACAGCCTTTGACCTGACACAATGCTCCACATTCGATGTTTTTAGCTTTAACCCCCAACTCATCCACCCCCCATTAGACGCAACGCGGTTCGCAGCGAGTCTGCGCCGTGGCAACTCGAACCGAACAGCTGTTCGGCGTTTGGTCCTTACCTAGGACAACAAGCGAACGCTAGTCCTAGTAACATCCAGCATCCAGCAGCCAAGAACAGAATCTATATACTTAATTTCAACATTATTTATTATATTGCATGTTCAGAGAGAGAGAAAGAGAGTTGGCAATAACAATATATATATATCCTCAGCCTCCTTACAGTCAACCACTGTTAAATATCAACATTTTTAGATTTAAGATATTATCAGTTTATCAGATGGACATTACCCAGTTTACCAACCGCATGGGGAGCTAGTGCAGCAGGGGCTACCCATGTTTCCACAGGGACCACAGCAACCGGATCCGCAAGGTCCACAGGATGGACCACAGCAGCCCCCACAAGGACGACAGCCGCCGCAGCCGCCAGCTGGCACAAGACAACCAGGCGGACAGGGTCCCACGTAGAACGGATCAAATTTGCAAACGATATACATTTTGGATGCTTAATCGCCTTGGCTGACACTTGATGCAACATCATCATCATATTATCAAACAATAATACAATGTTAAATGCCGACTTACATAAATATTATTCACTTTTCTTAGGCTAAGGATATATGATATATATTATCGTCCACTGCTCGTCGTTTCTTATTTTATTATTTTGTTGTCATATTTTGTGTAGTTTACGCACAGAAAATTTGGAAGGAAATGAAAGATTGAAACTTGGTCAACGTTAGGAGAGAAAACTGTATAAATTTATAAAAGCCAACTATGGTTTTCCCAACCTAATTATACTCAACTCTTATTTAAAAAACTTTGAATTCCTTTGTCAGATCTCTCACAATAAACAAAAAACCTATAAAAAAAACTGTACAAAATCAAAAATAATAATCATAATTATCGATTTCGATTGCTTAGTCATAAATCGGCTGATCAATCAAACAAATCTGAATATAGCCGCATAAATGAACTACTTAAAATTGATGGATTAATTTAGATCCTCAATCTCCCCTACCTCAAAAAACTCCATACTCACTCCATACTAATCTATCTTCGAGTGGGATAGCCAGCCAGGCTCAGAGAATGTTGTGAGATGGACTTTGAACTGGATTAAGATATTTCTTATAGACTTGTTCACATGGTGGAATCTTTTTTTCTTTGTTACCCTCATCGTTGCTCTAGGAGTATTAGGAATTTATTTCCCCAATTTTACAGCCTTTGATTTATTTGTCAAGATTACACATGCCCAAACATATTAATAAATATGAATGAAGCTCGAATCTGCTAGAATTCAGCACTTATGATAATCATATTGTCCTAATGGAGGTCTGCTCATATATTTGTTTGCCATTTATTCTCAGTTTCAGGAAAATCGCTAAACCGAATATAGAATTTAAAAATGTAAATTGTTGGCAAATTTGATCCATTCCATGTTGGACCCTGCCCTCCTGGCTGTCTGGTCCCGGCTGGCGGTTGCGGTGGTTGGCGTCCTTGGGGGGGCTGCTGCGGTTCCGGTTGCTGCTGCTGAGCTAATTAGTCCCAGCCGGAGGACTTTTCAATTATTAGCTGTGGTGGTAAGCTATGCTTGAATTTAATGAAAGGATTTTTTTTCCAATTTTCCTATGCAGATTATGAGATGACCGTTTTAAAAGTTGCTCGAACTGTGGTTGAGGATATCAGTGGCTGTATTTAAGATCTGCTTTGTGATGTTAACCTCTGAATTCTCAATAAAGTTAAAGTTAAAATATTATTCGCTTTGTGCTACATCATTAATAGAATTCGCTAATAATATCTGTTCATTCAGCTGGTATAATTATCAACATTTTAATGCATTACGTTTTCTGATGCATTAGCTGCTTCGCTCTTTAAACTGAATTAGGTTGTTCGAAATAATTACAAAATGTGCAAAATGAATTTTTCCATTTCCCGTCTCAATTGATTATTCACACTTTTCCTCACTGCCTGCTTTGCTCTCCTTCAGCTCAATTTTGCATTCCCTTTTCTCGGCCGTTCCCTTGCAGCGATCACTCCAGCCACATGGCACAAATCCCGAATAAATACCGTATGGACACGAACCGCATGCGTTTTCTGGATATGGGCCAATGTAAAATGGATTTGTGCGTTCAAAACTGCAAAGAGGACCAGCCATGTTGAGGAAAGTCTATAGAACTGAAAACTGATTTTAAATGTGAGTTTTTTTCTAGTACATTGTAAAATCTTACTTTTGACCAGCTGTTTTGTTTATGTTACGAAATATAGAAGCAATGCCAGAAAACTAGATTAATACACATGAATTGGAAATCAAAGGCAGCTTGATTTGCTTATGTAGATATAACCCAATGAAGCCCAACTCTTCTGCATAACATTTCAAGCTAAGTAAACCTCGTATTCAAGTTGAAATTTCTACTTATTTATTGCTTTGAGGTTTGATGTTGTGTGTCATCCCTTTTATTGTGACAATCTTCATTTTCTGTGGTATTCTGCTGTCTTCCATCCACAGCTGGCGAACAGCCGCCACAAGGTGCTTGAGGTCCAGGACATGGACCACACTCGGCATTGGGACAATCATTTTCGTCGGTGCATTCCGGATCACAGCAGGGTGGATTGGGTCCAATATAGCCAGGATTGAATACATACGACATTGTGCAAGATGGTGAATTTTGATGGAATCTATTGACTGCTCTCAGATTCAAAATACATGCCAACAAAGCAAGTTGTTTCCACTGTTGTTTGTGGCAACAACTGAGAATGTTAATACATTGGTTTTGTGGCCTGACTGACATGACCGAAAGCCTGCTGCAATTAAAATAAACTAGAAGCCAGATTTGAGCAACACATTCAGCCGTTAATAGGCTGACTGCAGACACAGTGACCCAATCATAATGGCTGCATAAGCTCGGGCACCCCTCCCCCGCTTCACCCCACACGCCTTGCAACGGCCCACAATGCGTTTAAATATTTCATAATCGAGCAACACTTCATTGTTGGTGACAAAAGCCCGTAAATGCAGTGACACGCCCCGGCGGGAATCTCTGGTCACTCAATAAATGGGACAACAATTAAGCATGTTATTGGGAGTGCGTGTGTGTGTGTGTGTTAGACTACTATATACTCTGTACACCAATTTAAAGTAGAGCTGCCGCTTGACCACTGAAATAGTAAAGATTCCAAATTATGGAAGGGATTATTTGCCATATTAATTATATTCCTTCATCTTTCTAAATATCAGATTTATCATATAATATTTTTATTGTCTGATTAGGTTTTTCAGGATTTTTAAATGATATATAAATATAATAAGTCTGTATAAATAGCTATTTATAACTAACTATTATTCACTGCAGTTCATTACTTTGAGCTAAGTTACCCATTTGCTAAATACAGGGTATTTAAATTGCAGTAACACGCTCGATGTTCGTTTTAAGTTGAAATTAATGAATAATTAAGTTGCTTTGGGGAGCCGTTTGACCGTTGTTCGAACGGAAGCGACAACGGCAGCATTTGCATAACTAACACAATGAACCAAATATCAGCCAGTCAGCCAGTCAGCCGGTCAGTCAGTTAGTCAGTCAGTCAGTTAGTTAGTTAGTTGAGTGAATGCGTGTTTAGTTTGAATGAATGCACTCATACTCACTGCACGAGTATTTCATAGAATATGCAAATTGAAATACTTTCAAACATTGTTTGGCATGTAACGGCAATGCTTTTGTCAATTAATCAATCAATCAACGTACAAAAGTTGACAATGCCAATAATATTCACAATCATAATCAACTATGCGGAAGCAACAACAACAACAACCACAACTTGTCCGAAATGTCTTTGCAACTTCACCTTTGATGCATGTTAATGTCATCATTTTCGGATCACTCGCATAGTTTAGAATGCTTTGAGTCAGCTTACAGCAATATAGATGCAACCTGCCCCATGCTGCGTCCGCTGCCTTCTCAAATTTCTAGTTCGTCTTCTTTTGCTGTTGCTGTCTGCTGCTGCTGCTGCATGCAACGCGTCAAAGTCGTGTGTGTTCTCTGTCTTTCTCTCTCTGTGTGTAATTCATATTCAAAGCGCTATGCGACACAGCACGCTGCGGCTACTGTGGTTTTAAGTGGGGTGGGAAGATGTGAGGCGGGGGGCTTAGTGTAGGCGTCTGGCTTCCCCAACTCTACGGTGCCCGCCACCTCCACAAGTTTGTGCAACCGCGCGCATTGCTTTTAAGTTGCGACCACTGGGCAGCGTCCGTGCGTTGCACATTGGTCAGCGGCTTACTTTGTGAGTGTGCCTCGTCAATGTGTTCGCTGCGGCTTGCGTGGCAATTTTGAGCCGCTATTGCGCTTTAGATTTGCAGAGCTCTCCACAAATTTCCACACAGTATTATGACACGTTGAGAAATGTTCAAGTCACAACCGAAGCAAATACTCACAGAAAAGTTATATTAAAAAAATATATAAAATCTAGTCTTAATTTTAGATTTCTTTAGCGCAAAAATCAAAATCATATAAGCAGTATTTGAATCTCAAGTTAAGTCAACAAATATGAAATTAAATTAAACATGAAAATATAATTAGAAACTATTTCTTTGGTTTCAGATAAGTAACTTATATTATTAATAATTCAATTTCCAAAATGAATGGAAAACAATGTTTAAGAAATAATAAATTGAAAGTGTAATTCTTTCATACTTCATTCAGTCATAATCAACTAAAGGGACTGCGTTTAAGTGTAAGATTTTTTCAAATAATTGGCTTGAAAATGCAACTTTAAAAGTTTTCCACTTTTCAGCCTAATCTTGGCGGCAAAGTTTTATCTCTAAATACAAGATTTGAGATTTTTATGGGAGAAAAACCGCACGAGACGAGAATTTCCATTGAAACAACATTATTAAAAGTGAACCTTTCTGTAAAAGCCATTTTGATTAGGCTTAGGACGATAAGTAAACTCAAACTCACATTTAAAATTAGAAAAACACAAATCAAAATTATTAATAGAAACGAGTCGTTAATAAAACATTATGTTTTATATCAGTTGATCAGTTACAATTCTGCAAATAAGATAAATAAATAAATATTAATAGGTAGTGCAGGCTTATCTTTTTCAAGTACACATATTAACGACAAAGCAATAAGCTGACAAAAAAAGAGAGGTTGAATCGAGAAGCAATCGACTTAGTCTATGCCACATCCGTTTATAGGTCTCTCTCTCTCTCTCTGACTCTGTCCAGCCGAGTTTCTTTCTTTCTGTTTGTATTTTTAATAATTCCAGTTCTTGTTACAGTAGTTGCTGCTGTTGTTGTTGTGCGACTAGTTCCTGGGTCTGGTTCAGTGCGTCGGTCTGGACACGCGCAACGGCCACTTGTCTCGTCGTAACTGTTTGAAATATGTTGTGGAGAAATGACAAAGTGACCGGAAGATGATACTGTAATAAAACAAACACACAACGCACACACACACAACACAACACACACACACACACAACTGTATATGGACGGCCCATGTACATGTTTGCCTAGGAAATAGAAGAAGCGCAAGTGCGACGAGTAACCAACCATTGTGGAAATGAACATGGGGCACAAAACTGGACAATGTTTTATATGCTGTACGCTGTGCGTTTTCTATTTGTGTGTTTCTACTTCTACTGTTTTTTTTCTATCTATTTTTAAGCCATTTATTTACAAATGAACAATATTTATGGCCTCTTTCTGTACTCGAACGACGTTTCGAAAAGTTCTATAATATCTGCTGGTCAACTTCCGCTGTGCTACTATATGGCAACAGTACTGTTTTTTTTCTCTTCTTCTTTTTGCTTTTGGTTCATAATTTTGTGGTTTTATATTGGGGTGACTGCCTTGCTTGCGGCATACGTAAATAGAATTTTGGTTGCTTCAAAAAAGCATAACAATAAATATTTATGATCTTGGTATGGTTTACAAATCGTTTGGCACGAGTCTAAGCCATGCAATGGCTCAATCTTCATTTGAATTATGATAATTTGCCAGCAATTATGCGGAGAACAAAAAAAAACACACATTACTTATGTACAGCGCGTACAGAAGATACAATCTGAGGTGTGATTATGAAAACAAAACAATTCTATCGACAATTTAATTGAAACTAGTTAGAAAGCTCTGACGACATACCACGACTAGAAAATACACTACAAGTTGGTCTTAAATACATAGCACACTTGTTTTCCAATATGAATATACGTTTTCGTTAACAAAATCTATTTTCATTGATCATTAGTATGTCTATGTATATTTAAAAATAAATATAAGCTTATACAGAAGTCTCTGCTGATCAGGAATATATATATATTTTTATGCTTCCCTCTGCCTGTTACATCTCCCCCTCAAAACAACATTATTCCATTTGTATGCATTCTCAGTAAACAAATGCATTAGCTGATAAAGATCTGATTTATGAGTTATTGGCTTGACTGAATTTAGGACTAACTTACTATAGAATACAAATTGAGGTGCCAAGAGATATTCATATAGTCAAAGTGAGATTGCCACTTTCAGCACTGAGTCAAAGGCTTTATTAATGAATGAATATTTGTATTGCAACATTTATATATATACTAAAGGGACCTTAACATATCATATGCAATTAGTTAGCCAGAAGCCAGCAATTTTAAAACTCGAGCATAATTAGAGTTGTCATGGGAACAAATTTATGGCGGTCAATTGGAGTTCGGCAACTAAATGCACAAGCGGCAGCCACTTAAGCGATCATAACTTTGGGCATGATAAATCGAACTGGAAATATGTAGTATGCAAAGAGCAAGTGACGAGAGGAGAGAGTAGATGGGGGGCCAGAAGAAGGAATAAGAACCTGTATCCTGTATGGGAAGCTGTGGCTGTGGCTGTGGCAGAGGCAGCTGGTGTTGCATGAATTGGGATTGGTCGTTGTCGTTGTTGTCTTCGCAATCATCGCTACCGGGCATTTAAAAGTTAACGCGCTATGCTCAAAAACCGGATTTGGCGCCAAGTGGCTCAACCCATTGCCAGGATGATGGCAATGGACTGCGGCGGATGTCAGTTGAGGTGCTCTGGCAGGGACTAGCAGAAGGGGGCAAGACGCGGGAGGTTGGCTGCGGCTTCTAAGTCGCCTCGCTCGCTTCAGGCAGCTTGAAGTGTGTGTGGAGAGTGAGAGCGCATCCAAGTTGAAATTGCCGCAATTGCGTGCCGACCACAATCTTAAGCACCCAACAGCAGGAGCACCACAGCACCAAAACTTCTAGCTGACTGCTCACACTGAGAGAAAACTGTATATGTGTATAGTGCAAACACAAAACATATTATTGACTAAAGTCTAAAGTAAGGGACATATAAAAATCTCAGATATACTTATAAATATTATACTGAGTCTTCAGATTCAGATTTTTTGTCGTCTTTCTTCTGTTTTTAAGAACAGATTTAGATCTTAAATTCGAATATAATTGAACTTCTTATGATCAAGATTAGAACATAATGATTTCAAAAACAAATATATTTCTGGTTTTCAGAGCGTTTTGCATTTTAAAAGAATGCTCTCAATTCTATGCCCCATCTTTTGCACAGTGTACAACTGGCGTCTTGAGTTGCTGCCACTTTTGTTCTCCTGCTTGTTGTGGCAGTCTTGCAGTCTGTCCGTCTTGTCTGTCTGGTGTGGCTGTTTCCTTTTGTTTTAATGAATAAGTTGGAACACCTGCTCGTTTGCTCGCTGCCCGTTGAGGTCTTTCCCTGCCCGTCCGTCCAGGCTGAAGTTTGACGACGCGTATGTGTTTTATCATTGCCTCGAGGCACTTCCCATTGTTAATACGCTACATACATAAATGCTGTGAGGCATTTGAGTTTTGGACAAGTTGCTGACGCAAACCACAAAGCGTCCGTCAGTTCAGCAGTAATTGTTCTCTTTCTACAACAATCAGCGAAAACTTTTACTCTCCACTGAAATGCTTTTCCTATCACAAAAATAAATATTGTTGATGATTTCGTTTTTTCCATTGTGACAGCAACTTGAGCTCTATCTGAGTGTTCGCTGGAGTTACTCAACACAGCAATCAATTGAAAGCACAATCAAGTCTGATTGCAAAGTCATTAAATAACACATAAATATCGGATATTGATATCGGATAGTACTGAGTAGAGCAGAGTATCAAATCATAATGTAGTTTCAATTGTAGTAATTGTTACTTGTTTCTTTAGAAGTTTCCTATTTGAATTGTCAAACGATATGTCTGCCAAGTTTGCTCGGCTTTGTCTGCATTTGATGCTCTAATTATAATGTTGTTTATCTTGGCACCTGACAAAGACACAGAGAGAGACCGAGAGAAGTAGAGAAAGAGAGCTGCTTGTTAAGTCAATAAATAACCCGTTCAAATTTCATTAAGCGTAAATCTGTAGTACAACCAAGAACGAGTCTTATAATCATCATTCATTAAATGAGGCACACCTGCAAATGGGTGGTAGCCACTGCTGACATTGATACTGAAACTGATTGTTAGCTGCTGCTGCTGCTGCTGCTGCTGCTTGAGAAGTAGCCACATTAAAACCCACTCTTGGCCAATTGGCTGCCTGCCCTATCGCAGCCACATCTCGCAGACACTGAGGAGAGTACTCGACACGAACAATTGAGTGCAACAATGCATAACGAGGATAAGTGTTGTAAAGAAATGAGTAAGGTCATTGAGCGGGCCAAAAGAAGAGGGTGGCGCAGACAATGTTGAAGTTGCTGATAGGGCAAAAAGCACGCTCGCATTCTGCGCAATGTATTCTCCACTACAACCAACCCTACTATAAAAAAACAAAATAAAAATAAATAAAAATAATACAGTTAAGCTCTCAATGCTGAAGAATTAATGCCCTTGCTCACATAACTTAATGTGCGACTGTTGTATATTTATAATTAATATGGTAATAAATGTAGACATATTTTTGGAATAAAGTTATTAGCATGATTGAACAGATTTCTAGTGAGTCTGGTCGTTAAAATGGCATACATTAATCACACATTTTGAGCCACACATAATGAAATTGCATAATTAAATTCCACCTATTTATTTTAAACAATTTTAACTGCATGCCTTGAATAATGCATAATTTAATTAGGCTTTAAAGCGTAAAAAATAAATTTGGGAGTATTAAAATGTTAACTGGTCCAACAATTATTGGAAGAAAGGAAGGCAACCCAGAAACAACTCAATCAGAGGAAAAATAAATCCTTAATAAGAAAGTTAAAAAGTGAATTATGTGCAGAGAGACAGAGAGATAAAGAGTGATAGTAATAAGAAAAAAGATTAATCACAGTTGAGCACACTCTGACATGCCCCACATATATGCTTATTCGAAAAATATATATTACAATAACTCAATTTGTAGATCAAGTCTTCCATTGGAATTTTCATCGGCAAAAGCAAGCACATTTTTCAAGCTTAAAATTTGAAGGATAATAATAATCGCTTAGCTGCAGAGAGATAGACCCAGACACAAATAGATACACAGACAAATATAATTCTATTACCTCGGCTACAAAAGCTGATTAAGTATATATTATAATATATATATTAAAATGACATTGCTTGTACGTCCTCGATTAAATATGGAATTTGACTCAACTGCCTAGAAATTGAATTTTGAGGCATGTGTGGGATTTCCTTCAAAGAACAGGCGGCTGTAAATAAATAATAGGACGGAAGGACTCATCTGAACATCGTTTTACTTGTGCAACGCATTCGATTACGAATCGAAATTCTTTGAGTGCACTTTAAGCCGGCTTACAGCAAGAGGCCAAAAGCCATTGCAAATAATTACAGAGCTGCTGCATCAGTCATGCGAACACACAGGTGGCAAGTGGAGTACTGTGGATGACGAGGATGATGTTATAGTTGCAAGACAATTAAATTGGTGTGTGGCACAAATTTAATGTTGTTAAATCAAAGCAAGTACTCCATCTCTGCCTCTTCCTTTTTCTCTGTGTGTGTTAACAATTACAGAGCAAGACATGAGATGAATTTTCGTGCTGCCTTTGCAAAGTATAAGCTGCTCGGTGTCATCTCATTGTCAACTATGCTCGTTGCAATTTTTGCGGCAAGTAATTTTCTTTTTTCTTTTTTTCCCTTTGCTCTATTTCGCTCTGCGCTTTTCAGTTTTCTTCTTTTTTATTGCGCTTGCTGCAGACATTTTTAATAAGTTGCTGGCAGCCGTTGCACGTCGGCAGCAGCAACAAAAGCAAACATTGCAGCTGCCAAGTTGAAAATGAAATTCGTGGCACGAATAGATTTCCAAAACATATGTGCTAAAAAGAAAGGAAACATCCAGACAGCGAAAGAGACAGACAGACAGACAGACGGCACGTCGAGTATGACAGAAATTCGAAAATGAAGCAATTTATTTGTATATTTGATACTGCCAGCCAGGGACAGTTGTCGTACTCTGTACAGTTGCACGGGAAGCTGCAACTGCCTCAGCAACTGGTCACAGTCAGCCGACAGCTTAATAAGTGGCTGCCACTCTCTCACCCCAAACCTCTTCGAGCAGTGCTGATAATTAGCAGTGCATTTGTGAGCACATTTTATGAATTACTTTTGTAATTGGATTCTTCTCCAGCGGCAAACTGAAAAAGTTGTTAATTTTAACGGCTTTGCTGAAAAGTAGAACGATTAGTTTCTGCATTAAATTTTAGATTTAGTTTTGACATTGCCCATTAATATATACTTAAAGAAAATAATATTTTTTGTGAACTTCACAGACTTCTTTGTTGAAATACGTTTTTTGTGAACTGTTTTGTTACACAGCTTGATTATATTTTTGATTTTCAACGGATTATATTCCCACATCCTGCTGTTTAACTCTAGAAAATATCCTCATTTTATTGAAGGAATTAAAATGAAATAAACTGCAACTAAGCCATACTTCTAACTGGTTTGTTTGTCCTTATGGGTTTGGAGGCGGCTCTTTTAATTCGTTACAAACTTTAATACAAAACATGATTACAGATTTTTCTTACCATTTGAAAATATTACAAACAATTTTCTCATCAAATTCTAAATTGTTGCGAAATTCTTAAAAACAATTTACACATCGATTTTTATTTTATTTTTGGCCATTTCGGGTTGATTTATGTGCCACACCGTCTGTTTTTCGAGCCTCAGCTACCTGCAATGCAATTATGAAATCCGTTATGGCTTTTAAGTATGTTTGTTTCAGAATATTTAAAGTGCTTAGTGCTTATGAACTCTCGTGTGCTCAACGCAATTACTTTGGCAAGAGAAAACCCTTCCAATTAACGGGCCAAGCGAGCACACCTAATGGAATAGAGAGAAACCCATTTGAACACTTGGCAATGGCGCTGAGGCACAGAAAACCTATAAAGAAAATACATACAACGAAAACTAAAGGCAAAGTGCCAGACCCGCAGAAAAACCACCGAAATATAAACCCCATCCCCATACCCCTACCCATGCACACACACACACCAACCCTCCATAGACCTAGGGTTGAGCCTAGGCGACAATATGGCAGCCAGCTGGCGTAATGGCGTTGCCTAAAAGATGGCACAAATAATGAAAGCAGCGCGCTAATACTACGTGCAAAATGGTTTTCGGCATTTCCCGCCTGCAACACATTCACATTGCGTATACGTAACGCTTACCAACGACGCCGCTCAGCTTATGCACTGCAATTTCCATTTACATAAATTCCGGTCATGTATGTGTGTGCGTAAGAGTGTGTATGTGTGTGTGTGTGTGTGTGTGTGTGTCTGTGTGTGTGTCTGTATGTGCTAGTAGCAAACTTTTACCTTGTTGTCTTCTATGTCAATTTGCTGGTAAAATTACCTTTTTGTTAATAGTTGCGGACGCTCAAGGGAGGCAAACATTACAAGTAATACAAATGTGGCCTAAACGAAACGCAGCAACAACAATAATAACTACAACAACAGCATTAGCAACAACAACTGTCGTGGCAGCAACATAAGCACTTACATTAAAACAACGCTAAATGCTTATTTAACTAATTTTGCAACATGTATGCAAATATTTAGAATGCAACACAT